TTTATTGTCTGCTTCCCCCATTATAATACAAGCCCATGAGGGGAGAGATTTTTGTCTGATTTCTTAACTGCTGTAGCCCCAAATTCAGACCCTGGAACATATTTGTTGAGTGAATGAGTGACACACAAATCATTAAATCTCTTCAGGGGTCTCTGAACTCTTAAGACGCTGCCCCAGTTAAGACGCACTAGCCCCTGCAAAAGCAGACCGTGAGCTCAGGCACCTGGCAGGAAAGAGGTCCCAAGGCGGAGGCAGCTTCATGCCAATACTTCAGGGCAGGGGAAAACACCACCTTCCAAACCTGCTCCCATTGACAGCTCCACCCTTTCTCACCCCAAAGGGGAAGGACCCTCCTTGAGGAGTGGTCTTCAGACCTCAAACATCTCCAGGAAGCACTGTGTCCCAAGCTTTTCCTCCCTTAACCTCCTGGCTGAAAACCAACATGATTTCAGGTTCTGGAAAAGAGCCGACACTTGAGGTGTGGGCTTAGAGAAGCTGGGGCTCTAGTATCCACTCTGGCACTTCCTAGCAGCGGGACCCTGGACTAGTCACGTTCCCCACAGAGCCCTTGGTTTCTTCAGTTGTAAAACTGGGGGAGGTGAAGAAGTTATCTGTAGGGACCCCTTTCAGCTTGGATTCTTTCTCTTAGCTGAAGCCCAGGAGGGGCTTGGTTTGTTGGCAAACAGCCAAGAGTCTGAATGGGAGCCAGCCAGCCCTGCATAGTGCCAGAGAAATCAAGCCCAGTCTCATCTCACCCCAATGCTCCCCTGCTGCACGTTCTCTAAAGGCCTGCGCAAGTGATCCTCTCGCCCAGGCAGAACCTTTACCCTCTGAAACAGCACCCAGAGCCCCCACCCCTACCCCCATCCCAGTGAGGACACTGACACAATCCTCTCTCCTTTCCCAAGCAGTGCAGCCAAAGCCCCCCAGGCTGGCCGATGCCCTCATGGGTGCTGCTACAGGGCCCTGGCACTGGGCACACTTCTCAAGGAGCCTCTGAGGTGCCCCAGCCCACCTGCAGCATCCCAAAGGTCCTCTCCTCTGAGTTTCCGTGTCCACACGGCATATGGTCTCCATTCCCGGCCCAGCCCGTCTTTCTGGGGAGCTTGGATCTGCAGCATTTCTACCACTTAAAGGCTGTATGACCTTGGGCAACTTATTTAACCTTTCCGTGCCTCACCTTTCTATTCTGCAGAATGGTGATAATAATAGGTCCTACCCATAGGACTTCTGTGAAGATCAGAGAACGTGTCTGTCCTGGCACCCAAAGTAAGTACTCAATAAAGGAGCCCATTACCGTCGTATTTCTAGCGAATGTCTCGGCCGAGGCAGCTCCCGGCTCTCCGGAGGACTGGCATCCCCGAGTCCCAGACGCGCGGCCAATGCCCCCTGGGGCTGGTGCGCGTTGCTCTCGGCGCCACAAAGAAGCCCAAGACGGAGGTGGCCGCGCGGTCAACTCCAGTCGCAACCTTGATGGCCCCCGCGGTAATGCGAGGTATCT